GTATATAGGTTCTGGGAGGTTCCTGAATGAGAGTGACCTTGTGGAGATGATTAGGCATTTGCTAGTTGGATGTATATGAAATTAATAGGAGGAACCTAAGGTGATTATTCTGGGTATATTCTCTGCTAAAACTAGGGCCATTACAAATGTTCATTAAACTGTTTATGCAATAGTTAATGACGAGACTGCATTGGAATATTAATAACAATAATAATAGTTTAGGGGTCCCCCCACATTAGGCAGGGGTAAAAAACCTCTGGGCAGTAACATTTTTGGATAAAACCTCCCAATTGACCTTATATTATTCTTATTATTGGTGGTGTGTTCTGTGTGGTTAAACAGAGGTGAACAATTTGGGAATTTTGTTAAGGACGTTGATGGAGTTTATTGAGATATCTAATTAGAGCTAATAGGCTCTTGGGAATTGAACAATCGATTAATGATTTAAAAGCTACGAACAGAGATCAGTAAATTGGAAATTTATAGTGGTTTTCGAGGTTGAAAATTTGGTTAATCCACTTTAATAGAATCTCTTGCTCCTGGGAGATTGTTCTATTACTTGGAGAAGAAGGTTATATGAATGCATATATATTTTAGTATAGATGTTTTATCCCTATTTATAGTATACAATTGTCTTGCATAATCTTTACGATCCTTCCGTAATTAACTCGATTCTTGCATAATCAACATGATTTCCTTTGAAGTTGTTATGACCCATCTAGTGATATATTTGGTCGTTAAAGGCTATATTCTCTAAGCGTGGTGTGGTCTTCTGAAAAGTATGAACTATTATTATCGTTGTGTGCACGAGGAATACGTTAGTAATAATTGTTGACTTATGCCTCCTGAGCTAACGATTATTAGCTAAGAGATCTGAATTAGTATGTCCGAATTCAGCCTTAGCCAATTTTTAATAATATCAATTACTATTAACGTAAATCAATATTAAATTATCGAGTTTGCCTTAATGAATGCAACCATAAACATATTTATTAAACTAGTTAGTGCACACGTACGTTGCACGTGGTTCATTTTGAGTTGTGATTTTAATTTTAATTTTTTATTTCTATTTTTAGATTTATTATTCCAAATTTGAGGTGTTTAGTATATGTCTATTGATATAATTTTTAAGAAAGACAAAAACGAAAACGGAAAAAAAATCAATAGAAAAATATTAGCTCATAGTGATATTTTAGCCCTTTCATGTACAACTTTACTATTCACTCCAAAAAATACTTGATGCATTCAACAAACCGCATTTCTATTTTAACAATTCAATTTCTTACATGAATATTCCAAACTCTTATGGAATACTAAAAGGTATTTTATTCTATATTTATTGGCTTTCTATTATAGCATCCAAGTAACATGATGGCTTACTAAATTAACGATGACATCATTTCAGATGTGGTGATTTGCAAGACTAAGAAATCTCAACTCTTGCGAAATTTAATATTCATCCATGTATGCATAGATGACTTTCCATTAGTGCAAATTTTAAGTTCTTTACTTGATTAAAAAAAATAAGTTTAGATTGTGACAAAAATGGTCCAATTTGAGATTCCATTTTTTTTTTCCGATCAATGAGATTTCATACTGTATAAGATTAATCTAGGTTGCTCATAAAGTAAGATCGACCTATTTTCTTCTGATTGGATGTCTATAGCTTCATTTGACATTATATCAAACAATTTCTCCCATGAACAAAAAGCATATGAAGCATTAAACAAACAATTTTAAAGTTATAAAGTTGCATATAAAAAGAGGATATCACTCTTCCATGTCATAGACATCCTCAGATGATCAAAGCAAATGGAGAATCAATCCTCATCCACCTCCGAACCAAGGCTACCAATCAATGGTGAGATGCATCCAGAGGATTTGCCTGAATACAAAGTGCAACACTCTTTAGATGTTTTGTCTGCCCGATATTACACTATCAATAAAATCCAACAAGCTCATACCAATGTAATCAACACAATACGAAGCACTAATATAGGCAACACAATATTCTACAAAGGCCCTCATTAGAACCAAACCCAAACACAAGAAAACCACTTGAAAAGACAAAAAATAATTAAATAACATTTTAGAAATATAAGTCAACATCATACATCCAATGAAACACGCCAACCTGAAGCATTGTAGGCCAGATGAGTCTAGTGTTTATTTCTTTTTGGTACAATCTCATTTGTTGCAGATTGATAAACACGACCCATTTACAACCATTTGAGTGATAGACAATGGTAGTCAAGTACCTTATCTGTATAAACCCTTCCCCCCACCCATGAAGCAGCTACACTTGAAAAGTCCAATCTGTTTTGTGCCTTTTTATAGCTACTGTAATTCATACAAAATAGAACAAAGCATATATGTGGCCATTGAGTAAAGTGATTAATGCCTTAATGGTGAAATCGAAGGGCCAAGAAGAGTGTGGAGGATGACAAACTGAAGAGAAAAGGAAAAGACGGGTTCCACCCATTGGATCAGATTCATGATTTCATCTTTTAGGTGATTAATGTATTAATGACAGTAAGAATTAAGAAAGAAAACAAATGGGCAGCCAAACTTTAGTGCTATTATCAGTTAGAAAAGGCACACATTAAACTTGAATAATTTTATTGAATTGTTAAAAGGTAAAAAGGGAAATTTAAATTTTTCTAGTTAGATATAAATATAGGTATAGGTATAGGTATAGGTATAGATTGTGGCATTAAATTTGGAGGATAAATATGACATAGTTTTAGTATTGGAGGGTAAAAATGAAAAAAAAATATTTTTCATGTATTCTGATATTTTAAAATAATATAGATATAGATTTTGTAAAATTGTATAGAATATTTACTAATGATACACAACATTTCAATCATTCAGATTTAGAATGTTTTACGGGGTCCACGTACTTAGTGGGGTTAAGTAAAAGCAAGCCAAAAATGGGAAAAATAACAATGATTGGACCCACTACAACTAAGGATCGTGATGGCTTTCCATAGCAACCGTTACGAGTTAAAGCTGGACCACATTAGAGAATTTAAATCACATCTAAAATCTAAACTAAAATAATAAGAATTAAGAAAATAAATCGATCTGTTGAGGATAAGATCTGAACTAGTAGCACATAAAAAAAAGGAACAGCAGGTGTGGGAGTGGAAGTAATCCAGTGACAAGCATTGTCAAACATTGAGCTGGATATGAAAAAGTGTGGCCCAACACGTCCAGAGACGGTGCTCAAATTTAAAGGAAAATAAATTTAAATTTAAAATAGAATAAAATATGATCATTGAATTTTTAAAAGATAGTGAAACCTCACAATTAAAAATTTGGGTATAAATTTAAGTCTTCTTTTATTTGAGTAAAAAAATAAGTCTTTCTTAATTTGATATGAGAATAGATCTAACATTAGAAAAAGATTTTTAAATTGTTTTTACTAAACTATAAATTTGAATTTAAAAAAAAAAAATAAAGATTGTTTATGAGTTTACATTTGTATTTTGGTAGTCGTATAAATGCTTAACTTAGTTCGAGATAAACAAAAATTCTTACTCCGCCCTTGAAATGGAAGGTTTTTGTGGATGAGGGAATGGTAGATCACTCCTTTAGGTCAACAAAGGTTTACTCATTGTTATCAGAATTGAACCGGTTATTTGTATTTTGGTAGTCGTATAAATGCTTAACTTAGCTCGAGATAAACAAAAATTCTTACTCCGCCCTTGGAATGGAAGGTTTTTGTGGATGAGGGAATGGTAGATCACTCCTTTAGGTCAACAAAGGTTTACTCATTGTTATCAGAATTGAACCGGTTATTTGTATTTTGGTAGTCGTATAAATGCTTAACTTAGCTCGAGATAAACAAAAATTCTTATTCCGCCCTTGGAATGGAAGGTTTTTGTGGATGAGGGAATGGTAGATCACTCCTTTAGGTCAACAAAGGTTTACTCATTGTTATCAGAATTGAACCGGTTATTGAATTGGCAGGGACTAAGTTAATGATTTATTGACTCAGTCATAAAGTCAATTGATCATATATAAAAAAAAAATATAATAATTTAATTAAAAAAATGTAAACACATGTCCATAATGTACGCAATCCAGTGGGTGGCTGAGTTGAGGAGATTGATTGCCTGAGTTGAGTCATGTCATGTGTTAGAATGCGTTTGGAGAAGAGAAAACAGAAGAGGAGGGACACGATTTAGAGCAAAATTGTCCTAAAAAATTGATTTTATTTTATTTTTTTATTTCTTTAAAATTCGAACTGCCCAATTTAAACAACTCATCCGATTCTTCGGTTTTATATAAAATCATTCGATTTTACAATTCAAAGGCAGTTTGATTACACATAAGATCAAACTCAAGAACCGGACCAATTTAGGATCCAATTCACTGTCTAATAGACTAGACTGATTCAATTCTAATAACATTGGGTTTATTGGCTGCATCCTTTAGTGGAGTCGAAGTGATTTTTTTTTATTAGTATCGATGAAATTAAATCATACATCATTAAATCTATTTAATATCTTATCATGGAGGCTGTTTTTGTTTTTAAGTAGAACAATTGATTTATTTAAGAATTTTATTTGGGAATCTAGTTTATTATAATCATTAGATTAGTAGCAATTCGAATGTTATATAATACTCACTTTTCATCCAACACCAATTATGAGCTAATCTTCGAATTAAATTCCTAAATTAAATATAAATAATATTTTTCTTTAAAATATCACACAAAAGTTTACTATTAAGTGGTGCTTAATAACAAGCGGGCTTCAGTATTGCCCGACCCGTTGTACAGTACTTTGATTGGCTGTGTTGGGGCACATTTAATAGGATCCGCACGCTACACTCCTTCAAGTTGGGCCAACCTCTGACGTTGGCCCAAAACTCACTCGATTTCTAAACTTTTAGGTAGGTATAGCAGAACATAGTCCAGTCCTCTTTCTTGCTTCTCTCTCCACCTTTCTGAGGTGAAGTTGGAGAGAGAGAGAGAGAGAGAGAGAGAGAGAATGGCAGTACCAGGCAGACGCAACGGTTTGATGGGCGACGACGACGAGGAAGACGCTCTGTTCGAAGAAGTAGAAGAAAGATTGTTGCTCGATCCAGAGTCCGACACACCCCCGCACCTCCGTGACCTCGCCTCCGCCGCCGCACTCGGCGACGTCGACGCCCTACGCCTAGCCCTAGGTATTACATGTCTATTCTTTCATTAATATCTGTAATTCTGCCCCATCAACTGGTTGTGGTGCCCAGAGCCCACCATTTGTGACTAAACCTTGGGGTTAACATAACAAAGGGATGGATGTTTAATTATTGCGCGAATCTTTGAAATTAGTAAATTTAGTGCAGTATGTGGTGCGTGTGTGTTTCGGCACTTGAAATTTATTAGAATCTGTGTGTTTTCTGATTAGAGGTCGTGACGCAAGCTATTGAACGGGAAGATTATGCATTGTTAAAGGCGCTGTTTTGAGTTTGAGAGACTCTGCATTGAG